CGGCCAGAACATGATTTTCAACTTGTTATTTTGCTGCTTCCACTTCTTGAGTGCTGAGATTACAGGCATGGTTTCCATGAAACTGGAGACTTCACCCAGGTACTCCACCAACTGACTACATCCCCAGACCCTAGGATCTATTTTAAAATCAATGGTTTTCATTTTCAAACATGTGGCCACATTTTGGAACACAAAAGTAATCAGTAGGATTTTAGTGTCAAGAAAAGCATGCAGTTATCTCTGATGGTTTAACAAGCATTATAAAACATATCTTAAAAGAGTTACTTTTAAGTACTTCTAAGCTATTTTAATGTGATTGTTGTTTTTTTCTTATAAAGAGTGATTTGAACTTGTTCTTTTGTGACCCAGAGAAATTAAAAATGGAAAGACCTTTCGTTTCTACAATGATTTATATAGATATCTGTGTATAACAACTAATTCTGAAATTGACTTAGCTCTAAAAAAGAGGGCATGAAATTACTGTGGTTCAGTAGCTGAACTGCTTCATTATTTACAATGGCAAAGAAGCTTGCTTTTTTTCTATTAAGGATGTGTGTTGCCAGTATGTAGTAATCTATTGGCTCTACTGTATCTCAGAAGCACTTAAAGTAACTGGCACTAATTATATGTGTGTACATATTTACACATGTATGTGCTCCTGTGCACATACTGCACAGGAGGGAACATTCACACAAAGTTCAGTGGAAATAGTCTTCCTGCTCTGCTTCAGGAAAAAGAGATTTCTGTTTGGCAGTTCCTGGAATTGAGGTCCTAAATCTTTTGGTATTGTTTTCCTGGTGACGCCTTGATCTTACTCTAGGGACACCAATGTCAGACTTGTGACTTCCACAATTACAAAATATTAAAGTTGGGTTTGAGATAAAATAATAAACTTGGGTTTAAGCCATTAAGTTCTTGATAGTTCACTAAGGCAGTGATAGAAAACTCCTGTTACTATGTATATTGTAAATATTTCATTCCTTAGGGTCATGGATGACATAGGATGCTTTAAATTGGGAGAACTGTAAGATTATCTTTTTCATAAAGTAGCAAAAATTGTTACGGGTAGTGAGGGAGATTTTCTTTTTTCTTTTTTTTCTTTTTTTTTTCTTTTTTTTTTCTTTTTTTTTGGTTTTTCGAGACAGGGTTTTTCTATGTAGCCTTGGCTGTCCTAGAACTCTCTCTGTAGACCAGACTGGCCTTGAACTCAGAAATCCACCTGCCTCTGCCTCCCGTGTGTGGTAGAATACTTTCTGACACTTAGCATACCTCATGGAGTCCAGTTTTTCTGTTCTTTTTATGTCAACCTGAAATGTCACAAGAAACATCTTGTCAGAGTAACTGTTACTGTTCCTTATGATTGCCCTTTGTATAAAGAATTTAACATTGCCAAATTCTCTGTTCCTTTACTATTGTTGATTATTTCTATTGTTGATCTGCCTGTTGTAAAACTTAAGGAGTTTGTTAAAGGTCTTCCTTATTCTTATGCAGTTGTGTTAATGGTTATAGAGGTCTATAGAGGAGACAAAGGCCACAGAAAGATCATGTGCTTCAGTTAACACTATACATGCCGACTTTCACTTGATGAAAACTCTAAGGTATTTTTCTAGAATCTGACAGTGTGCTTTCTGCATTAGAACCTTGTGGCTGAGTTGGTGACTGCTGCTCTAGGACTGTTAGTAACTCTGGGTGGTATCTACCTTCCCAAGATTAGAATAGACATCTCTTTTAAGATGGAGGCTGGCAACAGGTGTGTAAAACTTTGCAGGGATCTGAGACAAACCCTCAGGACTTAAATTTAAACAAGAAGACAAGGGGAGTGTTGGGGGTGGAGGTTGTGGATGCTTTGTTGGGCCAGGTGTTAATTGCATCCTCATTCTTGAACAGCCAGAACACTGCCCCAGTGATCCAGCAGTTATCATTCTAGTTTTAGAATTCTGTCTTCCTGGCTCCAGACGGTGGGAAGAAACCATCGTAATTTGAGCAAAGACTCTTTGTTTTCCTACTGAATAATCAATTTCCTAGTGTAAGAATTTGGCTAATAGAGTGCTGATGGGATAGGAGCACACACTTAAGAGGTGGAGGCAGGAGAATCAGGATCCTCTGGCAATCCTTGGCTGTGTAGAGTTAGAGCTATCCTGTATTACATGGAACTTAGTCAAGGTGTGTGGGGTAGAAAGAACCAAGAGAGAGATACTAGGACAATCACAAGGTCTTCTTTTTGTTTGTTTGTTTGTTTGTTTGTTTGTTTGGTTTTGAGACATATTGCTATGTAGCCCAGGGTGGCCTCATACTCCTGGTGATCCTCCTCATGTTAAGCAGGTGCAACCATGTTGGATGAACATCCAAGTAGGAAGCTAACCAAGGGCCTGCACTCTGTTCCTTGGAGACATGCTTTGGCTGATTGGATGGTTTGTGTGACTAGAATTTGCCAGGCATTTACCTATGCTAGTAGTAGGAACAGTTGTTGATTCATATAATTTGCTGAAGACTTTCTTCTACATACTTGATAGGAGATGGCGCAGCGGAAGCTTATGGGTTTTGGTGCATTGTGGAAGTCTGATATTTGAAAGGCTTGCCAAGCTTGCTGCCCTAACCAGGAAGCAATGCTCTTTGCCACCTGTAGTATCTTCAGTGCCATCTGCTAAACATTAACTACTAGTTGACATTAATGTAGGAAATAGTGCATTTTCATTTTGGCTAATCCAGTGGTTCTCAACTTTCCTAATGCTGTGACCCTCATAAAGTTATTTTCTTTTTTTTTTGTTTTGTTTTATCGAGACAGGGTTTCTCTGTATAGCCCTGGCTGTCCTGGAACTCACTTTGTAGACCAGGCTGGCCTCGAACTCAGAAATCCACCTGCCTCTGCCTCCCAAGTGCTGGGATTAAAGGCGTGCGCCACCACCACCCAGCATAAAGTTATTTTCATTGCTACTTCATAATTATAATTTTGTTACTGTTATGAATCATAATGGAAATACTTTTGGAGATAGAGGTTTGCCAAAGGGGTTGCAACCCACAGAATGAGGGCCACTGGTGTAATCCCTGGTAGAATGAGGTAACATGCTCTTGTTCTAGGCTCTCCTTGAAACAAACATGTCTCTGTAGTTTTTGTCCCCTTTGCTTTTGGGTACAATTATGCCAGACTCCTTTTGATTTAGAGACCAGTTTCTCGTTTATATTAGATTGTTCACATTTACCTGATTCACAGCTTATTTCCTGTTTGTCTCCTGTATATTCACATATAAAAATGCAAAAATAGTCATCGTATTTGGGCATTACTTTATCTTTTCCCCACATCAGTAAGATTAAAGACTTTCCCAGTAGCATTAGAAGGTACTACACCCATACCTGATTGACTTTTAACAGAAGGTATTTTGTTGTTATATAGACAGCATACAAAAACCATTTCACTCTCAGTACCACTTCTTATGGCTTTTATTTTATAGTGAATTGAAAAGAAATCCAATATGCTGTTGCCAGTTGATGCAGTGTGTATGACCTTGAATGAGTAGTTTTACCAGGAGAGATGGGAAGCTATGTAATTGTGCTTAAGACTCGTAGTATATATGTAAGGGTGTGTGCCGATCCGTGCTTCAGGTGTGTGCCTGCAGAGGCCAGAATAGAGTGTAAGACATGCCAGAACTGTAGTTACAGATGTTTGTGAGCCATCATGTGGCTGTTGAGAATTGAACATGGGTCCTCTGGAAAAGCAGCAAGTGCTTGTAACCTCCAAGACCTCTTTGGTCCCAATTATATTTCTTCCCTTTGCGGTTATTTGATTATTTTTCTTGATATCTTTACAGATGTTAAAGTGCTGTTTTTGGTTTGTACAAATAGAGAAGTAAATGGGTCATAGCTTTGCAGTTTATTCCAAAGGTCAAAAGAGCAATTTCAAATGTCAATAATTATTTTTTTTATTTAGTCACACTTTATTGCTATTGTCACCACAGTTCAACAACAAAGAATTCATGTGACATACATTAGAAGCTCTTGTCACATTAAGACAGGTAGGCGAAAGGAAGGACTCAGGAAGTAGAGAGTATACTTGTCTTTTTTTTTAACAGATTTTTAAGAAAAGATTTATTTATTTTTATGTATATGAGTACACTACAACTGTCTTCAGACACACCAGAAGAGGGCATCAGATCCCATTATAGATGGATGTGAGCCACCATGTGGTTGCTAGGAATTGAACTCAGGACCTCTGGAAGAGCTCTTAACTGATAAGCTCTCTCTCCAGCCCTTTGAACACAGTTTATATCTGTGCATGATTCCAGCTTTTTGCATTGTTTATGCGTAGGGTAATTTACTGAACTCCAGTGTTGCTCTGCTGTGAAATTGTTTGGATTTCTTTTCTCTTTGTATTTATGTGTACTTGGTGTTGATAATAGTCTCCTTGTGAGTGGGAGGACACAGAACTGATGCTTCACCCTGTATTGGGGATTCTTGTGACTCTACAGCAGTCTGTCTTCGATCACATAGAAACCTCTGACAGTTACTTACAACTTTTAAGTCAACATGAGCACTGCTTTTACTTTCAGGGCATAATAGTTTATTCTGAGCCACATATGATGGACTGTGGCCCAGAAATATGGATTTGAACAGCATATTCTATAGTAGAATGGATGTACAATTTTGTTTTAACTAAATACATTGGTGAGGGGCATTGGGCTGTAATAGAATGGGTGAAACTTATAACATTTTTAGTTTTTGGTAGAAGCTGGTTTAACAGTGTATTCCAAAAGTTTTATATAACGGTCCTAGTAATATTAAGTCTCATACAGAGATTGATAAAGTTTCTTCTGCTGAGGTGAAGCACCATGACCAAAAGCAACTTGGGGAGGAAACGGGTTGTTTGTTTAATCTTATGTACAACAGTTTATCATCAAAGGCAGGAACTCAAGTATGGCAGGGTCTGGGAGGCTGGAGCTGAGTCCACGGAGGAGTGTTGCTTACTGGCCTTGTTTCTTGTGGTTTGATCAGCCTGTTTTGTTTAGCACCCAGGATCAGCAGCCCAGAGGAGGCATCATCCACAGTGGCCTGGGCCTTCCTACATCAGTCACCAATTAAGAAAATGCCCCCATGGACTTGCTTGCAGACAGTCTGAGAAACACATCTTATTTAAGGTTTTCTCTTTTCAGGTAACTCTAGTTTCTGCCATCTTGACAAAAAACAAATAAACAAACAAACAGACCACCACCCACAGAAACCAAACCCAACTAGTATATGAGTATGTATATACATTGCTTTATTTTCTATTTTATTTGTGTATTTGTTTTTGGAAACTAGATGGTGAGTTCTGATTGATTCCTGATTGGTTCCTTCAATCCCATGTACTCATTCTAGTCTTCCTCAGTCTTAACATGCAATTTTCTCTTAAAAGTGCCATGTAACTATTGAGATGATGTTGAAAATTTGTACTTAAGTCCAAGTACTTTATGAGAATGTAATATCTGAAAAATTGTTAGAGCATATACATTTGAATGACTCTTGAAATGAGAGCATTTTTTTTTATTAATGAGAGGATAAAAATGTTTTCTTTTTAGTTACAGAGACAACTGATACCAATTGAGTGCTCAGACCATGACAATCAGAAAAAAAATAGTAATTTAAAAATTTAATTTTAAAATTAAAAAATATAATTTTGATGTAATTTGTACATTGCTCAATGTAGGTCACTTTTGTTATTAATAGTATACTTTTCTCTAGTTGAGGTCTGTGAGATGTAAATTTTGTTTTCTAAAACTGGTCATCTATAAAATTGTAAAATCAGAACTCTAAGATAGATACACATTAAATGATTATTATTATTTTAAATGTTTTTTTTTATTTCTGTAGAACAAGTGCTTTCTGTTAAAGCAAAACTCAGTATACAGAAAACCTGGTTGAAAGTTATAATCTTAGACATTTAATACAGTGGTTCTCAACCTGTGAGTTGCCATCCCTTTGGAGTGGTCTTATAACCTTTTGACCAGGGTCGCCTAAGACTATTGGAAGACACAGATATGTATATTACAGTTCTTGAGTATAGCAAAATTACAGTTAGGAAATAGCAACAACAATAATTTATGGGTGGACAGTGGTGGTGCACGCCTTTAATCCTAGCACTTGGGAGGCAGAGGCAGGCATCAGATTTCTGAGTTCGAGGTCAGCCTGGTCTACAGAGTGAATTTCAGGACAGCCAGGGCTATACAGAGAAACCCTGTCTCAAAAAAAAAATTTTTTTTTATGATTCGGCTAACTACACTGTGAGGAACTGCCTTAAAGCGTCACAGTATTAGGAAGGTTTAGAAGCACTGGTCTGATAGGATGAGTAAATGAGTAAAGTCACATTCCTATTGACATAAATCTTACTGATTTCTTGGCAAACTTTTTTATTTGCCATGTGTAGTGTCTATACGAGATAACCTGTATAGATTCAGTTGAGATATACTTAATAAGTTGAGGAATATCATTTTTGTTTAGAGCTTTGTAATCCAGGAACTTTTTCTATACAAAAATTTTGGCAGGATTAAAAAAAAACACAGAAAAAAGAGTGGCTTTTGTTATGGTTGCCATAATTCATGTTAATGTAATAGTAGGAAACAGTAATGCTCATTTTAATTTTGAAATTAAAAATTTTTTGAAAGATGTTTTATGGTCACTTAGCTTTAAGAAGTTAGAATAATTGGGTCCTGTCACTTTACATTCTTATGTTCTACTGTTTGAGTGGGCTCCTTATCTTAGGATACATTTAATGACTTGCAACGATTGGATTTTCTATTTTTATACCTAGTAAACTCTTCCTAACTTGTAATATTGGACAAGGCAACTGCTAGTTAGTTATTTATTTTTATTTTATTTTATTTTATTTTTTTAAATTCTGACATTCTAGGATTCTGAACTGAGCGTAGCTTTCTCTTTCTGGCATTGTTCTTTAAGATCTGTTTTGTTTGTTAGGTGAAAACAATGAGTGAAAATTTTTTATGCAAAACACTTCAGATATTTAAATGATGCTACAATTTAATACCGGTATCATTTACTTACTTAAAAAGTTTGCTTTCTTCTTTTCATTTTAAAAATTATATCCTTTTAGAAACTTTTAAGTAATTGTAATTGAAGGCACATTCAGAATTTTATAGTGCACAATTATTAGTAGTTTTTATCACATAGTTTACTATTGATTTGAAGACAAATAAAATTAGTACTAAATAATTCTTTCTACACAGAACTAATTTTATAGAACAAAGACCTGAAATCATCTGACATTTTTTCCATAGTGAGCCTGTGTTCTGTTTAATTTACTGAGTTAGTCTTGTAGAAGATGCTAAATACAGTAGACAGATACTGATCTAGAGTTTTGAAAGCTTTGATCACATGGGTGTGGTCTCACATGCCCTTAATAGTCCTGGCACTCTGGAAGCAGAGATAGATGGATCTCTGTGAGTTTTAGGTCAGCCTGGTCTATATATCAAGTTCTTAGGATAGCTAGGGCTACATAGTGAGACCCTGTGTAAGACCCAAAGTTAATATGTAAAGCCTATGAGCCAAGGACCTAATAACTCTGGAATGGTGGGAGTTGTAGTTCTTTGAAAATAACAAAGCCTCATTACAAAGTATGATGGATGTCCATATGAGTTTGACTTTATAAGTCTTTGCAAAATGTGTCTCCAATTGACTCAGCTGGCAATTTCAGGGAGTGGTCCTGACCAAAATCCATGTTGGACAGTATTTAATTAAAAACTTGCTTCAAGGTTGATTCAAATGGTGAGATTGTTTTTTCTCTGGTCACTCTTAGGATTAACACCTGCCTCAAAAACAAATAAATAAAGAAAATAGCATTGACAAACAATTTGATTGTTAAGTGGAGGTTTTCAAAGTGATTATAATTTGAGTAGTCATTAAACCACTGTTGACAAATTCATCCAGCATTTCAAGCTGTTAGCTTGAAAGCCAAAGCATTATTATAGTCTGATACCATGTTGGCCTCCTAACAGTCTGTAATTCCATCTTCACAGAATCTATTGTCCTCTTCTGGCCTCTAGGTAATCATGGCAGAGAAACAGATACATATACATAAATAAAAATAAATCTTTAATAACATACAGTTTATATTTTCATCAACTACCAAGTTAATTTGATGTTTTTGGCAAGCCAGTAGTGAAACAATCTAGTCTTTGCATTCCTTGATAATTCTTAATAATTTGCCTATATCAGTAAGTTTGGTGCAGTTGCCACCAAACTCAAAGCAGCCTTGGTCCACGATGCTAGGGACAGTAGCTGTCTGGGCTTGTGAAGTGGTCTTTGCTTATCTCTTTAAACACTGTGTTCTCTTTTGCACCAGGACCGAGTGAGCTTTGTATCCTTTTTTACAGAAAAGGAGCAGCTAGGAACAGTAGTTGACTTCTTCCAGGGTGCTAATGGGGAAGGAAAATGAGTCAGCAGCATTCATTCTCTTCTCCCACCCACGACATCTGTCTGCCTTCTGTCTATTTTCCACCTACTTTGGCTTGTGAACACTTAACCCTCTGTAAGACATCACCAAGCAGCTAGGAAATACCTGCATGTTGTTTGGACCCTCAGCAGTTCTCTAGAGCAAATGAATTCAATCCCCAGGTCTTAATTTTGGGAGGATTGCAAGCTTTCTCAAATCCTTTCAGGTGAGAATGTGTGAACAGGAGCTTTGTTTCCTACCCCATTCCCACCCACAGACACTAGAGAAAATGCTGAAGAGTAAGTAAGCATTTTGTGACTTGTGAGTGAATGATGACTTTCATATAAGGCTTTACTGCTAAGTGCTTAAACTATTCAGTCTTTTATTGTCATTCCTTTAGGTCTGTGCATTTTCTTTGCTTTTATTGTTTAACACAGGATTTGAACAGTTCCTAAAATGTTTTCTTCTCCGTGGAAGAGAAAAATGACAGGAGGGTACAAGTTGTGACTAAAGTAATAGACATATTGAAGTGTGGGCACCTGTGCAGAGGAGACTCCACTGTCTGTGATAGCCAGTGAGAGAGGGAAATTAGAGCTAGGTGGGTCCAGGAAAGCAGCTCCCTACCCACAGGTGTGAGAAAACAACATCTTGAACACTTGCCTAGTTACCACTGCCCACTGCCAGACAGGTGTAGCTTTTGATGTATGTTTGATACATTTTCCTTTGAAATGATTGGCTCAGAGTTAACAAATGACACTTAAATAGAACTACTTTTTAATACTGTTCAAGTTAGAAGATGATGATTATTGAAACATCAAAATAGTCATTTTGATACAGACTAAAGGAGCTTTGGTATAGTCACTTCATGATCCCATTATCTGGCAGTAAGATTGTCATGGCCTGCTCTGTATATATGTGGTAGAGCATTATGCCTTTGGACTTTGGAAGAATATTGATGGTATGAAAAATATTTATATTTGATTAAGTGAATCCTAAAGCTGTTACTAGGGTGGTTTGAGTTTCCTCTTGGGATTCTTAGTTTTGTTGATAACAACTTAAAAAAATGCTCTTTGAAGCTTTCTTTCTTATTAGTGTTAGAGGAAAAAATAACAGGCATATGTGCTGCAAAGCTGCAGCAGTGGAGAGGAGGGAGGTGGAGAAGAGGAAGAGAGAATGTCCTGCCTGGTGTTTGAGTTTGGCGTGTCCTGTAAGTTGCATAGCAGGAGGTGGGGAGAGTGAAGCCAGAATGTAAGGCTGGCATTTTTTGGGTTTTAGAAAAAGACATAGAAAGAAAGAGAAGGAAAAAATTATGCTTTTTGGATTTAGAACTCGAAACATGGGCAAGCTTATCAGTGAAAATGTCGTCAAAGGCGCTTTTGGGGAGTTGAAGTTCATTTCATTAAGAGGATAGTCACCCTTCCCCCGTATTTGTATTTCCTTGGCATGTCTTCAAGTGAACCATCTTTCTTGGAGGTGGGGTGGTGGTGGACTCCTGGCCTGGTGATTGACAGGCTCGATCAAGAGTTTTCTTTTTCTCTACCTCTCCTTCTCTCTTTCTCTCTTTTTTTTTGTTCTTGGTGGTTTTTTTTTTTTTTTTTTTAAGACAGGGTTTTCTGTAGCCCTCCATGTCCTGGGACTCACTTTGTAGACCAGCTGTCATTGTAGTGCCTCTCAAGTGCTAGGATTAAAGGCTTTTTATACCCTACCATGCATGGTTTATTGGATTAA